GTGGGGCAGTTCAAAAGCACAGCCCCATGGCACAACAAGACAGGAGAGCTAACTGCTGTGCAGCACCAACAACTTCCCAAACTGGCTTTCTGTCAAAAAAAAGTGTGTTGTCCAACAGCACACTCAGTCAGCTCAAAGAAGTATTGAATTTGTAGTTCTTACAGATAGGCATAGTAGCAGCTCCAAGTTTAACTAGACTTTTTTATTATAGAACCTGGTTGTCAGTTTAGGAAGCTCCTTTCTATATGTGATGTTAAGACACATATAGACCACGCGTTGTTTAACGAGTTGTTAAACATTGGAACAGGCTGCCCAGGGAAGTGGTTGAGTCACCATCCCTGGAGGTATTTAAAAGACGGGTAGATGAGGCGCTTAGGGACATGGTTTAGTGGGCATGGTGGTGTTGGGTTGACGGTTGGACTCGACGATCTTAGAGGTCTCTTCCAACCTTAATGATTCTATGATTCTATATGTTAAGACTAAAGCCTTCCTGTTGTACTCGGAGCTGACTTGGATTTGCAGCTTTTTTCTCCTGGAATACAGTTACAGAACAATACTTGTTTACAAGAAAACACTACACTGGAAAAATAGCTGATCCCTAGAAAACTTTTATTCTTTGTGAGAGTTTCAGATTTTTCAAGAATGATGTCTGCTTCTGCATTACAGCAAATTATTTATTACAGTAGCGTTGAGAGGTCATAATCAGAATGTAAAACTTATTTAACCACACATCATGCAACTATCTAAGTTTCCTGTGCTAAAGAGATTATTTTACTTAGTTTTTTTAAAAAAAGCTTTCAAGAGATTTCAGAAAGCATCAGACAGAATAAAATAAACATCTTCTGTCACCTCTTTTTAGCTAAGAAATATTACCTTGCCGTAAACAGTCCCATCTTCTAAAGTAGCTGCTATTAAGGTTAGTTATGATGATTCTCAAGTAAGAATCCACTTTTCTCTAATGCTACTGCTTATACTAGAGGAAGTTTCCTGTAAACAACCACAAAACCACCTCACTGTTATTCTTCAAGTACTCCTTTGGAGTTTTGCTTTGCCATTGTATCAACAAAGCCAAAATTCAGCACCCTCAGAACATGCATCCCACATTG